TCTGCGCTGCTAGAGTTGATTTCCCAAATTTATGTCAAGAATTTCGTGCCAGTGTCCCCGGATGACACACGGGCAAAGAAAAGTCCAGCAGCAGTGGCTGGAGAAGGGTAAGGCAGTGAGCGCCTCCCCCACGGCGCTGAGTGCATTCGCGAGTGGTTCTAGGATTTTCTTCCTCTTTGAAGTCAGCCAAGCAACATTTGCAGTTGTGTTTTTTAAAGATCTACTTATTGATGCATACAGAGCTTGGGGTACAGGCCAGAGGTGCAGGGGTGACACCAGGGTTCCCCAGAGACAGAGTGGGGAGCAGAACAGGCAGGTCGACGAAGCACACTGCCAAGGGGAGCAGCGGGGACACAGGAGAGGCCTGCCGCGCCCTGGGGGTCCCCTCGGGGGCGGGGACCGAGCTCGCACGAAGTGGCTGCGGCCAGCTGCGTCCTACCCCGCTGCGCCACCAGGGAGGGCTGCAGTCAGCCGGAAGGAACTCGCGAATGCGGCGTTTTCCCAAAGTGCCGTGGCGGGGCGGCCCGTGACGCTGGCAGCTGCTCCGTAACGGCAGCCGAGCCTCCGTGGCGCAGGGCTCACACGCGTGAGGCCACGTGTGTGACCCACGTCCGCTTTCCTGCCTTTGCAGTCACAGCGAAGATCCTTAAGGGCAGGAGTCCCCCATGTTCCGAGACCAAGCTATAAAATACTTAAAGTTGTGGGGGAAATATTATTTCCTAATTTTAGCTACATTTAGAAAAAGAAGAAAGGAAAACATCAGCGATGAAAAAAAGCTGATCCGCCCGGGGAACGTGCTGGCTCACTCTCGGTCCCGGCGGCCCCGAGCCGCCCGTCACACCGGGAGTGACTTCGGCCCGTGCCCGGAGCCTGCCTGCGGGGCCCACATGTGGGTTTGAGGCCACGCGGAGGGACCACGCAGGTTTCAGGACTTTTTTTGCATCGTTAGTAATGTAGCAGTTGTTCCGGCCATCCCAGAGCTTATTCCCGCCGTCGGCTTCGGCGAGCCACGAACTCGCTGTTATTCCAGTCATTTCCACCCCAGAAAGAATCAGGGCAAGACAGACGGACAGAGAAGCCCAGCGCAGAGGCCCTCCGTGGCGGCGCGGGGTCCAAGCGCAGCACTGTGAGGCTGTGCGCAGCCGCGGCAGCCCGCGTCCATCTCCCGCCAGGGAGTGACCGCCGGGCGCGGCAGCCCTCCCCTGGCCCGCCCGCTGCCCCCTCAGCGGTGCGTTTAGCATCTGCCTGTTCTGCGCCTCACTCTGGGGAGTCCTCTGCCCCCCATGCCCCAGTGCTTCTTGCATAAATAAGTAAATCTTGAAAAGGAAGAAAAGACCAGAGCAGAGAAGTCAGCGTCGCTCAGCTCAGGCCGCTCGCCGGGCCGCGGCCGGCCGCGGGCGTCTCGGGGCTGCCTCTGGTCACCCTCCGGCCAGCGCGAGCTGCGGTTTGCACAGTGGTGGCCCCAGCTCGCACATGTGGGAGAGGCCCTGGGCATGGAACTCGGAAGGCCAAGGAGTGAGGGGGCGGCAATCCACCGGCCCCACAGTGACAGCCCAAAGGGGCTGCGCCTGGGGTGCCACCTCCTGCCCCCAAAGGCGGGCTCTGGGGCGCCGCGCCCCCGTAAGCCCCCTGCTGCCTCCCTGCAGCTTCCCAGG